TTGCTTTTGGTTGGTTTAATATAGACATGGATACATTTTGAAGATGAAGGGATGTCAGCCACACTCCACTTAGCTCCTCTTGCAGTATTAGATAAATAATCAATGAAATGACTGCATACGCCTAAAAACCAACCTTCCTCGTTACATTTGACCACTCCTGGCTTTCTTATATATATATATATATATATATATATATATATATATATATATAGAGCTGGGTCAGCGCATGCTGAAGTGCGCAGAAGTCGCCAACTGTCTGCAGAGTCAGAAGCTAAAGACCTCTAAACTTGGTGTGGCCTCCAGATTAACACAACAACAGTGCGTAGAGAGCTTCATGGAATGGGTTTCCATGGCCGAGCAGCTGCATCCAAGCCTTATGTCACCAAGTGCAATGCAAAACATCTGGCGCAGTGGTGTAAAGCACGCTGCCACTGGAGTATAGAACAGTGAAGACGTGTTCTCTGGAGTGACCAATCACGCTTCTCTGTCTGGCAATCCGAAGGACGTATCTGGGTTTGACGGTTGCCAAGAGAACGGTACTTGCTTGACTGCATTGTGCCCAGTGTAACGTTTGGTAGAGGGAGGATTATGGTGTTGGGTTGTTTTTAAGGGGTTGGGCTTGGCCCCCAAGTTCCAGGGAAGGGAACTCTTAAGGTGTCAGCATACCAAGACATTTTGGACAATTTCATACTCTCAACTTTGTGGGAAGAGTTTGGGGATGGCCCCTTCCTGTTCCAACATGACTGCACACCAGTACACAAAGCAAGGTCCATAAAGACATGGAGGAGCCAGTTTGGGGTGGAGGAACTTGACTGGCCTGCACAGAGTCCTGACCTCAACCCCATAGAACACCTTTGGGATGAATTAGAGTGGAGACAGCGAGGTAGGCCTCCTCCCCCGACATCAGTGCCTGACCTCATAAACGTGCTTCTGGAAGAATGGTCCAACCTTCCCATAGACACCCTCCTAAACCTTGTGAACGGCCTTCAGAAGAGTTGAAGCTGTTATAGCTGCAAAGGGCGGGGCCAACTCAATATTGAACCCTACGGACTAAGATTGGGAAGCCATTAAAGTGTATTTGTGTGTGTGTAAAGGCAGGTGTCCCAATACTTTTGGCAATAAAGTGTGTGTCTGTACACACTCATACACATATATTTTTTTTTTCACTTTCTGTCTTTTAGGACGACCACAATTTATAATAAAACTGCTGCTTGAGACGACTTCATAGCGCTGTCTGACATCCCGCATCTTTTGTGTTCCAATTTAGACACTTTCTTCCTATGGCAGTTTGATCCGAGACCTTCAAAGCGCCACAAGATTGACATCTCAGCTCAGTATGAGAAAAAAAAAAAAGAAAAACTCCAGCGAGGTCACATTGATCAACCAGCAGAATCCATGTTTGATTTATGTTTGAGGGCTGCCTTTGCCTGTCAGTCAAGAGCTGTCATTCTCTGCACGGCTGCCAGAGAAAGATGAAAATTCAGCGGGGTTCTTGTCAGGATACTGATGTTGCCTCCTCTTGATCGCGGCGAGGCTTCTGCTGTTCTCGGATAGATTGTGTTTTATCTTTGACATGTATCCTAAAGCAGTGGAGTTTGTAAATCCTGATATACGGTTTAGTTCCCGATGACGTAGCAGAGGCAGGGAGGGATACAAGGCAGGCAGGTGTAAAAGCCAATCTACCCACCAACATCAGTGACCTTAAAGGAGAACCCCACCCATAAAAAGCATTTCCTATCATCTGCTTACTTTCTTTTTTTGAAGTCTTACACTGCTTCACATCCTGAATCCTTTCCTAAGTTGGGATGATGTACATCCACCCATCCATCCACCCACCATCTCCTGGGTTCATGAGGCAGGGTTTCAACACAATAATAACTCCTCCTGCGCTTAAATGGATACTCCCTAGCCCTAAGCTGCTCAAACCTATACCCAATAGGTGTACATAACATAAACACAAATTTCTATATAGTGTGGCGTGAATAACACAATAAATAAATCCAACATAGAAATGTAAATTAAAAAAAAAAAAAAAAAATTATTATATATATATATATATATATATATATATATATATATAGTGATATGATTCTTCCAGGATCTAATGGTGAAATATTATACAGTGACAATGTGAAAAAAAGAGGAATAAATCCTGTAGATTGGTTGCGTTCCCTCCCCCTCACTCCCCCTCTCTGTTGGGGTCCCTCAAGGCTCCGTCCTCAGGCCCCTTCTCTTCTCCATCTACACCTCCTCCCTTGGCCAACTCATACACTCTCACGGCTTCAACTACCACCTATATGCTGACGACGCACAAATCTATCTCTCAACCCCCCACCTCACCCCCTCGGTCTCCGCCCAAATCACACACCTACTGAGCGACATATCAGACTGGATGTCGCTCCACTTCCTTAAACTGAACCTCTCCAAAACCGAGTTTCTTGTCTTCCCCCCAGCCCGGACACCACCCCCCATTGACTTCTCCATCACATCCAACAACGCCACCATCAAACCCGCCCCGCAGGCCAGAGTACTTGGTGTCATTCTGGACTCCAACCTATCCTTCCAGCCCCAAGTCCAATCTTTAACAAGCTCGTGCAGACTCCACCTCCGCAACATCGCCAAAATCCGCACGTTCCTAACCCCAGAAACCACTAAATAGCTCATCCACTCCCTCATCATATCACGACTCGACTACTGCAACTCCCTCCTCACTGGCCTGCCTCGCCGCTGGCTATCCCCGCTTCAGTCCATCCTGAATACGGCTGCCAGACTCATTCACCTTTCCAACCGCTCCATCTCCGCCACCCCCCTCTGCCAATCCCTCCACTGGCTTCCGATTGCCCAACGGATCAAATTCAAAATCCTAACACTGACGTACAAAGCTCTCCATCATACTGACCCAAATTACATCACCGACCTAATATCCAAGTATCACCCAGCACGCACACTCTGCTCCTCACAAGACCTCGTTCCCTTATCTCCTCCTCCCATGCCCGCCTCCAGGACTTCTCCAGGGTGTCACCCATCCTCTGGAACTCCCTGCCCCAACCCATCAGATTATCACCTACTCTCCTCTCCTTTAGGCGCACCCTGAAAACCCACCTCTTCAGGGAAGCCTACCCCACCCCCTGCTAACTTGCCGACCTCCTCAACTCTTCCTACCACTCCATCCCCCACAGCTATCTCCTCCTGTGCCACCATCCCCACCCTCCTAGATTGTAAGCTCGAAAAAGCAGGGCCCTCAATCCCCTCATGTTTTGTATTGTATTGTTGTTCTGTCACATGTTCTGTCCCCCTTTGTAATGTACAGCGCTGAGCGAACTATTGGCGCTTTATAAATACTGTATAATAATAATAACACAAGATCCTGTGAATTCACAGACCTGTCACGGGTCAATGGGATCTGGCAAAGTGGGATCTCATGAATGTGCAGACACACTGTGGGCCTCTGCCAGGTCCCATAGACTCACAGTACGGAATATTGCGTAAGTGAACTTTAATGACATAAAGCCATACTTGACCACCATGCTTACCGTTCATTGAGGAAATGCTTCTCCAGGTTTCCTCTAGTGCTGGTCACCAGAGCCAAGGCTTGATCAAGATTGTGCAGCAACAGCTCTTAGGCGGGGCATAGATGATGTGGTTTTCTTTCCTGCAACCATGGGTTGATGGGTGAATCCCTCCTGCAGTTCTACTGTACCTTGCTGGCAGTGGGGAGCCTTCCCTTCCAGCAAAACACAATGAATACTCATGTACAAATATTTGACAGGCCGGGTGTACTGAAGTCCAATTGATGGATCATCTTTAGTACATCTAGCCTGCCCACGGATGGATCGAATCTTGACCAGTCCATGCTGAACCATCCAAAATTCGATCCATCTGTGATCGGTGTGGAACTCGCGGCAAGCAGCTAAATCGAAAGCCGTAAAATATCTATGCCCACCGCAGGGGTTTTAGCTAACTTTATTGCAGATTCTTACCGGCTTCCTTTCTGTAAATACTGATGGTAAGACTTGGCTGCCTTTACTATAATCCCATCAGAAGTCTTTAAAATAAAAATTAAACTAAACATTTGCAGCCTTTGCATCAGATTTAAACAATTTGAAAATATCTGGTTTAAAAAGTATCTCCACTTTTGTTGAGGGAAAAAAAAGCATGATAAATGCACATTGCAGGGAATTTAACAAACGTTGTAGCAGATTCCTACCTTCTGTTGCTCTGAAGAAAAGCTGTTTCTTTCATCGTGTCCTTTGCAGACTAATTCTGAATGGACAGCTAAGGCTCATTATAACCACTTGGTGCACCTTCTGTGTTCTGATGAGAAAAGCTGCAGGGTCTGCATCCCTTTTTAGAAGATTTAACCATTGGGGGTTATGAATAGAAATTTCACCAAAACTGAAATTCCTATTGCAGGGTGTGGCTAAAGCTTGAATTGTATCTTCGTTCGCACATCTGGGAAAATCAGCGAACCAATCACACAAGCAGGAAGCTAATTTAGTGACATTTTTGGGGGCGTTCCATATACCAACGGTGTATGGAATATCCCCAGGTTGCCATATTGCATTGAATTTTACAGATAATCACAGCGGCTGCAGATTAACAAGGAAAGGTCATTTTTTATAACATTAAATTACAAGATAGCTTGTCTAGAAATGTATATGCTATATTATTTTTTGTTGCAGGGGATTGCTTTAATGTGACCTCAAACTCTGTGCTGGCTTCTGGGAAATGCAGCAAGCCAATCCCATGCGAAATGAGATTTTTTATTTTTTTTTTTGTACGGTTTGCTTTTGGGCTGATGGATGATTAAGGGAATGTGATTTCATACTGCCTTTGAATATTCTGGAGAAGGTTTGTCCCAAGCAATTTGTCCAGTGTGTCGGCAGCAGTGATCAGGTCCTTCCTGGTTGGCATAGGCTGTGATGTGGGGATGAGGAGATCTGTATCCCCCCCATGGTGTAACCTTCTTTTTTCTGTTTTGTCTTTAAGCAACACTTCTGATGAAACAAGCATGGCCGCAGACCTCGTCATCCTGTGCCAACGAGGGCACTTTCCACCTGCCTGTGGACAATGGCTCTGAGAACAGGACTTACCAGGCTTCTTCTGCAGCTTTCAGTAAATAATCAATTTTCTCTCTTGCTGACTCAGCACTCAGGCCTTGGCTGGCTATAGATCACTTTTGTTGCCATTACCTTTGTCGTTAGCGGCCTTAGAAAACATATTTATACCAGCCAGACGTTTGCCAGACCGCAGAGGCATCTCCTCTCCATATGGGGAAAGATGATAGACAACTTCTTTCTTTCCTTTTTCCTTTTTCTTCTCTTTTTCCTTTTCCTTCTCTTTTTTTTCCTTTTTTTTTCTTTTTTCTTTTTCTTTCTTTTTCCTTTTTCTTTTCTCTTTTTCCTTTTTCTTCTTTTTCCTTTTTCTTCTCTTTTTCCTTTTCTTCTCTTTTTCCTTTTCTTCTCTTTTTCCTTTTTCTTCTCTTTTTCCTTTTTCTTCTTTTTTTTCCTTTTTCTTTTTCTTTTTCTTTTTCCTTTTTCTTTTCTTTTTCCTTTCCCTTTTTCTTTTTTTTTCCCTTTCCCTTTTTCCTTTTTTCCCTTTTCCCTTTCCCCTTTTTCCCTTTCCCCTTTTTCCCTTTCCCCTTTCCCCTTTTTTTCCCTTTCCCCCTTTTTTCCCTTTCCCCCTTTTTTTTCCCTTCCCCCCTTTTCCCCTTTTTCCCCTTTTCCCCCTTTTCCCCCTTTTCCCCCTTTTCCCCCTTTTCCCCCCTTTTCCCCTTTTCCCCCTTTTTTCCCCTTTTCCCCTTTTTTGCCTTTCCCCTTTTTTTTGCCTTTCCCCCCCTTTTTTTTGCCTTTCCCCCTTTTTTTTGCCTTTCCCCCTTTTTTTTGCCTTTCCCCCTTTTTTTTGCCTTTCCCCCTTTTTTTTGCCTTTCCCCCTTTTCCTCTTTTTCCCCTTTTCCTTTTTTCTTTCCCCTTTTCCTTTTTTTCCTCTTTTCCTTTCCTCTTTTCCTTTTTTTCTTTCCTCTTTTCCTTTTTTCTTTCCTCTTTTCCTTTTTTCTTTCCTCTTTTCCTTTTTTCTTTCCTCTTTTCCTTTTTTCTTTCCTCTTTTCCTTTTTTCTTTCCTCTTTTTCCTTTAGACTTGGGGAAAAAGTGTCATATTTGGAGAATTTAATTATGTTCTGCACCGAAAAATACAAATTCCTAAAAATATTTTCTGTTTTTTGAATCACTATTAGCTCAAATACTTGTTGAGACTTAAGAATCCAAATATATGTATATATGTGACATTAATGAAAATAGGCATTATAATATGATTAGAATATATCCCTGGGGGGGCACCATCCTATTACCTACTAGTCCGAACAAAAAAAATATGTATTTTAAATATGTTCTTCCAGGAATACCTAATGTTAATCAATGGCAAAATATACATATAGGTGTAATGGTCAGGTCTCTACACATGTGTGACCATATTTTATCTGGTTGTTTTTTTTAATTACCACTTGCAGCCAGAAGTGGCGCTCTTTATCCTCTACTGTGCAGTCAGGAGTTATACTGTATGTGTTTTATGTCTTTTATACCTATATTGTTATTAATCTGTTGCCTATTTTTTCTTCCTCCCAAAGGGTACACTGCCGGCACCCCTTACAAAGTTCCTCCGGCGCAGAGCAATAGTGCTCCTCCGCCATATTCCCCATCCCCCAACCCATACCAGACAGCGATGTACCCCATCCGAAGTGCCTATCCCCAGCAGAACCTATATGCCCAGGTAAGGGTGCTAGCCAGTAAAGTGCATGGGTATCTGAATGTGTACAGAGCACATTTTGTGCACATTTCCTCATGTTTGTCTTTTTAAAACTTTACGTTTCAATCATCTAAATATATTCCTTAGAAAGCAGCCGGAGTAGAAAAGTCTGTTCTTGGCATACATGCTCCAAAGGAACCATGTGTGGAAGCAGTGGTGTCTCTGCAGAGGTCTGACCCACCTCCTGCTGAGTCAGAGCCAATCTGCAGGGAATGTGACATTTACAAATGGGGAGACCTCAGAATGGTTCCAAAGGCAGGACATTTTTAATGTTAATGTATTCCCTGCATTATGGTAAAAAATGTCCCAGTATTTGTATTGTGACCCCCGTCGCTCTCTCTGCTCTTCATAGTCTCACAGAACACAGAAGCAGCAGAGAGCCATTGGCTCCTGCTGCTGTCCATCACATCCTGTGAGGAGGGAGCGGGTGGCGTGGACGCACACAGGCTAGCTCAGGAGCGCACCTGCACGAGTATCCCCACAGTAGCCGGCTTGCTATGGGGACACTCGCAGAAGAGGAGGAGCGGAGAGTGCAGATTGGGAACCCCAGAAGAGGAGGTTAGAAGCCACTCTGTGCAATACTGTTGCCCAGAGCAGGTAAGTATACTAAGTTTATTTTTTTAGGGAGGAAAAAAATTGCCTTTATAACCACTTTAAACTGTCTCACAAGCAAGTGCCCTTCTCTGCAGTATGCTGGCAGGGGACATCCTCCTGGAATGTATTTATTTAGTGGGCTTAAATGTTAAGCTGGGCTTTAAAAATACTGAAAGTGCATAACAATACCTTTTTGATGCTGCCCAAAAACAGTGAGCTCCCCCTAACTTCATGTAGTGACCTGACAATGCTGCCTCTGCTGCAATAAAATTCCTAGCAGTGCTGGACTACAAAACACTTCCACTTTTCCATAACATGAGGAGGATATGTTCTGTAATCCGGCAGGAGAAAACCCAAGACAGGGAGGACTGACCACCCTTACAAAGATTTAAAGTATATCAACCATCAATAAAAGATGGATGAGCAGTGAATGTCAAAATATGAATAGTTTCCACTATAGATAAAACATAAATAAATGTTAAAATCCAATCCGGCTTGTGGAAAAATCCAGTAAATGATTGCGCTTACCACAAAAACATACAAACAAAGCGTTGTATGTATATGATGGACATCAGGGCCTGGTCAGCAACTAGAACAGCATCCGGTCACCATATGAGACTTCCAGGAATGGTGGAAACCCCCCACGGTCATCTCCGGTTTTACCAGCAGGTCCAACGAAGTCCTCTCCACGCACTGTTCATCTGGATCACACCACCTTGGTAACGCTCATAAATAATGAGCCAGAGCAAAAATGGGCAATGATGGTGAAGCTGTTTTAATTGGTGAACAGTAAAATATAAAGCATATAACTCACATAGTGGGAAAAACACAGCCCAGGTCAAACGAAGAATTTTCCCTGGTGATCTGTGGTTCCCTGGTAATCTAATGGCGTCTGTTGGGTGGATCCCCTAACATGTTTCGAGCCACGCTTTGTCAAAGGGGTGAATCCTATCCCAAGGACGCCAGCATTTAAAAATACCGCGGTCGCGCCTGCGCAGTGAGCACCTCGCGCCGCTGAAATGAATGGCGCATGCGCGGGTGACGTCACTCACCAGCCGCCGCCGAACCCCATTGCGCATGCGTTTCATGCGCAGAACTCATAATGAATCCCCCTCTCACAGCCATCCGCCCGCAAGTGAGCGGGCAAAAATCCAAAGGGAAAGTCACAGTGCGCATGCGCCGACGTCATTAAAGACGAAAATTAAAATCTCAAGTCTCCCAACCCTAATGGGCGGGCATATACGCACAGGGAGGTAAATAAGGAAGCCCAGTTTACCTAGCAACCACAGCTCCCCCATGAAATTCCAAAGCATAAATATAAATAAGAAACCCTAAAAGCAAATACTATAGTATTCTTAAAGGGACCACAGATCTTAAACAAATAAATAGTTGCTACATGGGAACAACCATTATACTGCAAACCAGGGACACCCCATCAGATAAAAGCACAATGGGGTGCCCGATGGATACAGAGCCCCCCAACAGGAGTCTATACCGTAAATATACATAACATCATAATATAGTGCAATACATGTCACTACAACCATATGATCGTGCAATCACATGACTTGTGACCCCGTACATTAACGATCAATTGGAGTGTATTGTGGTGTAATCCAATAAATAAATATTAGTATATGAAAAACATCCTATGCTATCCGTTAGTGGACACATAAAAATGATAAAATACTATAAAATGAAATAAAACCATTTGTTAACCCCCTTGCTCATGTAAGTAGGGCACAGATAGTATAAATGAATGAAAAAATTGACATCAGGTAAATACAATAAGATGATAATGGTAGAAACTGGATATCTATTAAAATTCTAAGTAAGCAAAGGGCAAAAATAGCAGGAAATCAACTGTTATCAATAAAAGAATTAATATCCAAATCAACATTCAAACCTTGAGGTTGTAAAGATTTAAGCTCCACTATCCACTTAGTTTCGAGCCGGGACACTGCTCTCCTTTTATGTCCCCCCCCCCTCCACTGCTGGGTAAATCGAATCTGGCGATATGTTCTGTAATCCGGCAGGAGAAAACCCAGGGAGGACTGACCACCCTTGAGATTTCAGTGCAGCAGAGGCAGCGTTGTCAGCCACTACAGGTAGTTAAAAATGCTGCAATGCCAGATGAAATACCTGTTTCTTTTCGCTGAGCTAAAGAGATCAACCTGGGGCATGCTATTGCAACAGAACACTTTGCAGTACGGTTTTTTTTCTCCCAATTTAGAGCAAAGCATTCTCTGATTGGACAAGGTGGAGATGTCAGTCACCACCCTGCACCCGTACTGCGGTTTGGTCGTGTAGAACCATCCTAAGGGCCTCTCCACCTTGTCCAGTCAGAGAACGCATAAAAAAAAAAAAGTAGGATTGCATTTTTTTTACTTTAAGTAATGCCCGTAACTCACTATGGGGCATAACAAAGACATTAAAAGGTATTCTGTGTACATTGGTTTGGCCCAGTGCGACCCCTGTGTTCACTATGCAGCAGAGCAGTCCTCTTGGTAGACAGCGGCGATTCCTTGTGGACAAGGTGGTAGCAGTGATTACTAGCAATTGTCCATCTGCCACACCAGTCCCACAGATGTGGCAGATGATTTGCCAATTGCATAGACAGATGTGGAGATGTTGTAGACCTATGAAAAAAAAAAAAAAAAAAAAAAAGCTATACCTGATCAGCTTCAAGTTTAGAAAAAAAAACTTGACGCAATGCATGTTAACACCTTGCATCACATCACTCGTTTAAAACTTACAGCAGCCCACAATAATTGGTGTGTTGGGGTGTGAATGGGCCGTTCTAGACATTAGAGGGGGAGGACCCATCATTTTCCGGTGTAGTGACCCTCCTCTACCTGTATGCCTGTCCCAGGTGATTGCTTAGTAAAGGCGAATGTCCTTACTGCGGCACTTGTATCTATCATCTTACAGCTCCACCTGCAGTCAGAAGAAGTGTGCTGCACCCAGGAAAATATCTGCATCACAATACTCTATTATTATTATACAGGATTTATATAGCGCCAACAGTTTGCTCAGCGCTTTACAATATAACGGGAGACAATACAGCAACAATACAGTTCAATACAAGAGGGATAGGAGGGCCCTGATCCTGGGAGCTTACAATCTAGGAGGGAGGGGCTAGTGGTACAAAAGGTAATAACTGTGGGGGGATGGACTGGTAGTAGGAATAGAAGATTCCATTATTAGCGGAGGGCAGGATAGGTTTCCTTGAAGAGATAGGTTTTCAGAGATCGCCTGAAAGTGAGCAGAGATAAATTGGGGTAGAGCGTTCCAGAGGATGGGGGAAGCTCTGGAGAAGTCCTGGAGACGAGCATGGGAGGAGGAGACAAGGGAGCTAGAGAGCAGGAGGTCGTGCGAGGAGCTGAGAGCACAGTTTGGGTGATATTTGGAGACAAGATCGGTGATGTAATTTGAGGCAGTGTTATACATGGCTTTATATGTTAATGTTTTGAATTTTATCCGTTGGGCAATGGGAAGCCAGTGGAGGGATTGGCAGAGGGGGTCGGAGGACACTGAGTAGAGGCCAGTGGAGGGATTGGCAGAGAGGGGTGGAGGCCAGTGGAGGGATTGGCAGAGAGGGGTGGAGGTCAGTGGAGGGATTGGCAGAGAGGGGTGGAGGCCAGTGGAGAGATTGGCAGAGAGGGGTGGAGGCCAGTGGAGGGATTGGCAGAGAGGGGTGGAGGACACCGAGTGGAGGCCAGTGGAGGGATTGGCAGAGCGGGGGTAGCAGATACAGAACGGTTAGTAAGGTGGATGAGTCTGGCAGCAGCATTCATGATAGACTGAAGAGGGGATAGCCTGCGGTGAGGTAGCCTTTCTCAGTCAGGGTTTCCTAGGCTTCCTCCAAAACTTGCTAGGGGTTTCTTGAGCAGTGAGCATGGTCTTTCTCTCAGTAACAGCTGGCATCAATGATCCCTTTAGCTTTCTGAAAGATGGGCAGTTTTCCCACTGATGACAATGCAAGGGTACAATCACATGGGCAATGGGCAAATGGCAGCGGAAGGAATCTGCCGATACCTGTTGCTGTGTTTGTGACCTGTGAACAGCTAGCAGTGGCCGCAGAGCATGTACTCTTTAATGACATCAGCAGTGGGCGCAGCTGCCCATGACTGATCACACAGCCAGTGATTACCTGCGGGATTGCTGCTCGACTTTGTGTACGATCAACCAGCCATGGATAGAATAAAGGAAGGACAGTAAGAAAAGTAGGCTTCAGTCTTTATGCTCTTGTGGAATAGCCAGGGAGGACTAGGAGACACATGATTGTTCCCCACTTTGACTGCAAATGACTGGATTGGCAGAATGTTATTTAATGTTTTTCATATATGATGTGAACTCTGTTGTGTCTAAATGACCTCATGTTCTTGTTTCTCAGGGCGCTTACTACACACAGCCTGTCTACGCTGCACAGCCACACGTCATCCACCACACCACTGTGGTCCAACCCAACAGCATTCCCTCTGCGATATACCCGGCCCCCGTAGCGGCACCACGGACTAATGGCGTTGCAATGGGAATGGTTGCCGGGACCACCATGGCCATGTCAACAGGTGGGTTCTCCATAGTTAGAGGTGAACTGCATCAGAGGACCTGTCATTTAAATAGCTGGTGATAGATCTGCAGAGACCTTGACTACTGGAATCTGGATGGTGAACTCCAATAGTCAATGTTTTTGTTATCACTTTTGGATAGAGTAGGAAAGGGTTAAAACCCCTTGTCCTTTTTTTTTTTCTGTCTCTTTCATAGATCTCTCCAATGTTTTGTGTTTTATTTTGAAGATGAAATAAGTGAGTGGAAATCTCTCTAAGGTGTCACCAGAACAGATGTTCCTAAGATAATTATCTTTACTTTCATAGTTATCCTTACCTTTTAGTTCTGGTGATCACTGTAAATGTTTTCATTTCCCATCCCTTTCTTTCTCAGTGACAGTAGTCACCGGAACACATAGAGGGGTGAATCTCTTCTCTCTCAGCAGGGGAAATAAAAATTTGATAGACGTTGTAATGCTTTCCTACTCTATCCAAAACATAAATAAAAGTTTAGACTATACCTACACTTGCAGTATGCATTTTCAGTTCTAAATCAACTGTACAAAAAAGTGGCAACCACCCCAGTTTGTAACTAGCCTTTGCAGTAAGGTGCATATGAAAGGGCAATGCACATCACAAACAAAGATTTCCCAGCACACTTACCAGCTAGCCTGGGAATAAAGTGAATTGACTTTGTCTAAAAATTCATGTTACATACAGAGGGTTTAGTTTGCACACATTTGCAAATATATGCGCAAACTGCAGTGCCTACGCCAAGGCACCACTGTGTACTGCTTTCCTAACTAATTTTCAGAGTCTGTATCAAAGCTGAACTCCAGCCACGAAGCACAGAATGTTTTTTTTGCAAGCTACTTGTTTACCTTGTCCAAAGGCCCGATCAACAGCTAGTGTTCCTAGCCCCAGGTCCCCCAGTGATTTCTAAGAAATTTCCCAGTGATTCCCCATGTTTCTTAGCGAAAACATTTCCTTGTGTCCTCCCAGTGGAGACGTTTCCTACTGTCCCCCAATGTTTCCTAATGGAGAAATTTTCTTGTGTCCCCCAGTGTGTCCTAGTAGAGATGTTTGCTAGTGTCCCCCCGTGTTCCCTAGTGGAGAAGTTTGCTAGTGTCCCCCCGTGTCCCCTAGTGGAGAAGTTTGCTAGTGTCCCCTAGTGGAGACGTTTGCTAGTGTCCCCTAGTGGAGACGTTTGCTAGTGTCCCCTAGTGGAGACGTTTGCTAGTGTCCCCTAGTGGAGACGTTTGCTGTGTCCCCTAGTGGAGACGTTTGCTGGTGTCCCCTAGTGGAGACGTTTGCTGGTGTCCCCTAGTGGAGACGTTTGCTGGTGTCCCCTAGTGGAGACGTTTGCTGGTGTCCCCTAGTGGAGACGTTTGCTAGTGTCCCCTAGTGGAGACGTTTGCTGGTGTCCCCTAGTGGAGACGTTTGCTAGTGTCCCCTAGTGGAGACGTTTGCTAGTGTCCCCTAGTGGAGACGTTTGCTAGTGTCCCCTAGTGGAGACGTTTGCTAGTGTCCCCTAGTGGAGACGTTTGCTAGTGTCCCCTAGTGGAGACGTTTGCTGGTGTCCCCTAGTGGAGACGTTTGCTAGTGTCCCCTAGTGGAGACGTTTGCTGGTGTCCCCTAGTGGAGACGTTTGCTGGTGTCCCCTAGTGGAGACGTTTGCTGGTGTCCCCTAGTGGAGACGTTTGCTGGCGTCCCCTAGTGGAGACGTTTGCTGGCGTCCCCTAGTGGAGACGTTTGCTGGCGTCCCCCTAGTGGAGACGTTTGCTGGCGTCCCCCTAGTGGAGACGTTTGCTGGCGTCCCCCTAGTGGAGACGTTTGCTGGCGTCCCCCTAGTGGAGACGTTTGCTGGCGTCCCCTAGTGGAGACGTTTGCTGGCGTCCCCTAGTGGAGACGTTTGCTGGCGTCCCCCTAGTGGAGACGTTTGCTGGCGTCCCCTAGTGGAGACGTTTGCTGGCGTCCCCTAGTGGAGACGTTTGCTGGCGTCCCCTAGTGGAGACGTTTGCTGGGTCCCCCTAGTGGAGACGTTTGCTGGCGTCCCCCTAGTGGAGACGTTTGCTGGCGTCCCCCTAGTGGAGACGTTTGCTTTGCTGGCGTCCCCCTAGTGGAGACGTTTGCTGGCGTCCCCCTAGTGGAGACGTTTGCTGGCGTCCCCTAGTGGAGACGTTTGCTGGCGTCCCCCTAGTGGAGACGTTTGCTGGCGTCCCCCTAGTGGAGACGTTTGCTGGCGTTTGCTGGCGTCCCCCCTAGTGGAGACGTTTGCTGGCGTCCCCCTAGTGGAGAGGTTTGCTGGCGTCCCCCTAGTGGAGAGGTTTGCTGGCGTCCCCCTAGTGGAGAGGTTTGCTGGCGTCCCCCCTAGTGGAGAGGTTTGCTGGCGTCCCCCTAGTGGAGAGGTTTGCTGGCGTCCCCCCTAGTGGAGAGGTTTGCTGGCGTCCCCCTAGTGGAGAGGTTTGCTGGCGTCCCCCTAGTGGAGAGGTTTGCTGGCGTCCCCCTAGTGGAGAGGTTTGCTGGCGTCCCCCCTAGTGGAGAGGTTTGCTGGCGTCCCCCTAGTGGAGAGGTTTGCTGGCGTCCCCCCTAGTGGAGAGGTTTGCTGGCGTCCCCCCTAGTGGAGAGGTTTGCTGGCGTCCCCCCTAGTGGAGAGGTTTGCTGGCGTCCCCCCCTAGTGGCGTCCCCCCTAGAGGTTTGCTGGCGTCCCCCTAGCGGAGAGGTTTGCTGGCGTCCCCCTAGTGGAGAGGTTTGCTGGCGTCCCCCCTAGTGGAGAGGTTTGCTGGCGTCCCCCTAGTGGAGAGGTTTGCTGGCGTCCCCCTAGTGGAGAGGTTTGCTGGCGTCCCCCTAGTGGAGAGGTTTGCTGGCGTCCCCAGAAATGTCCTAGTATCCCCCAGTGTTTCCTAACAGGAAACACTGGGGGACACTAGCAACCTTCCCTAACAGGGTAGCTGGATTCCCCTTGTTCCTTAGTGTTTTGTTTAAAAGTGTCTCCCAGTGATGTCCATTGTGATGCCCGTACCCCTAGTGTTCTTCAGCCTGTTCCCAGTGACTCTGTGTGTTTCTGTTTGTACCTGTTGTGTCCTTCAAGCATTTGTGTCCTTGTTCCTCTGTTTTCCTTGTGTACCTTTGCTAGTGTGCAGACTGCATGGAGGGTCTACGATCTCCAACTATATGTGACAGTAGGGACCTCCCACTGCCTCATGGTATGTCCATAGCATGCATCCCTGGAGACAGGTGCTTATGCACTGTGAAGTTCTACACATGAGCAGACAAGATGCCAGTCACTACCAGGTATTTGGGAACTGGTAGAGACCCGCAGTATGTCTGTGCATGCTGGGCTATTTATGCACACATCAGGTCTCTACAAGAGCCCAGACACCAGTGGCATTTTTGCACACGCACAGATCTACTGCAGGTCCCAAATACCTGACAGAGCTGCAGCACATCTGTGCACGTGTGGGATATTTGAAGATGGTGGCCCCAGAAGGAATGTTGTGGAGGTGAAGTTCCTCTTTAAATTAAGGCAGTCATTGAAAACATGTAAAATCATTTTATTGTGCCAAGGAAAAGGGAAATGAGGAGTCCATGGTGGGCAGGGAACTAGAGTTCAGCTTTAAAGCCGACAGATTAAGTCCACTCCCCTTCCCTGTTGGCTGGACTTTCTTGAATTAGCACAGCTCTATTAGTTTTGGAAGTCTCCGCACCGGAAATGTATCCACATGAATTCTTGGCACTAGTAACAGGAAGGCGAGTGCATTGTGAGAACTGATGTGTATTGGGCCCTGAGGACAGTACACCAGATTATTTGTGCTAATTGCAATCTCTCTGTACCACAGGATGATCTAGTAATAAAGCAGGCTGTCTATGAACGACAGAATCTTATTGCATTAGTAGGACAGACATTGACTTTCAGTGCTCTTATTTTTATCCAGGCACGTTACTGACCACTCCTCAGCACACTGCCATAGGAGCACATCCCGTCTCTGTGCCAACATACAGAGCTCAAGGAACCCCAGCGTACAGCTATGTACCTCCCCACTGGTAATCTGCTGCCCTGTCTATGTAAGTACAATAGCCATGCTCATATGGTGTATCCAGATCTATGGTGGGATTAGGGAGACCTCTTATGGTACCTCGGTGAACAGCAATGCTTGTGACACAGTTGTCCCGGCAAGGGCCCCTTCCCCATTACGCATTGCTCTGACGCATGCAGTTTCAGCCATTAAGTCAAAACCACAAAGGATCTGGGATTATAAATCCCATTTCAGTCTTTGCAGATGACACCAAGCTGACCGTGGAATAACGTCCTTACAGGATGTATCCAATTTACAAGCCGCCCTCAATGCTCTGTGTAATTGGGCAACTATGTGGCAAATGAGGATTAATGTTGATAAATGTAAGGTTCTGCACTTGGGGACTAAGAATATGCATGCATCATACATACTGGGGGGGGGGGGGGGGGGGGTACAACTTGGGGGGGGTCAATGGTGGAGAAGGATCTGGGAGTTCTGGTAGATCACAAGCTTAATAATGGCATGCAATGCCAAGCTGCGGGTTCTAAAGTGAGCAAAATCGTTTCTTGTATTAAAAGAGGTATAGACTGCAGAGAGAGAGAGAGAGAGAGATCACCCCCCCCCCCCAGTACAACTCATTAATTTGTTATACCTCATCTGGAGTATGCAGTTCAGTTTTGGACTCCAATTCACAAAAAGAACATTGGGGAACTGGAGAAAGTACAGAAAAGGGCAACCAAACTGATAAGAGGCATGGAGGAGATCAGCTATGAGGAAAGATTAGAGGAACTGAATTTATTCTCTCTTGAGAAGAGGCTCATAAGGGGGGGATATGATCTCCATGTATAATACATAAGGGGGGATATGATCTCTGTGTATAATACATAAGGGGGGATATGATCACCATGTATAATACATAAGGGGGGATATGATCTCCATGTATAATACATAAGGGGGATATGATCTCCATGTATAATACATAAGGGGGATATGATCTCCATGTATGATACATAAGGGGGGATATGATCTCCATGTATAATACATAAGGGGGGATATGATCTCCATGTATAATACATAAGGGGGATATGATCTCCATGTATAATACATAAGGGGGGATATGATCACCATGTATAATACATAAGGGGGATATGATCTCCATGTATAATACATAAGGGGGGATATGATCTCCGTGTATAAATACATAAGGGGGGATATGATCTCCGTGTATAATACATAAGGGGGATATGATCTCCATGTATAATACATAAGGGGGATATGATCTCCATGTATAATACATAAGGGGGGATATGATCTCCATGTATAATACATAAGGGGGGGATATGATCTCCATGTATAATACATAAGGGGGGGATATGATCTCCATGTATAATACATAAGGGGGGGATATGATCTCCATGTATAATACATAGGGGGGATATGATCTCCATGTATAATACATAAGGGGGGATATGATCTCCATGTATAATACATAAGGGGGGATATGATCTCCATGTATAATACATAAGGGGGATATGATCTCCATGTATAATACATAAGGGGGGATATGATCTCCATGTATAATACATAAGGGGGGATATGATCACCATGTATAATACATAAGGGGGGATATGATCTCCATGTATAATACATAAGGGGGGGATATGATCTCCATGTATAATACATAAGGGGGGATATGATCTCCATGTATAATACATCAGTGGTTCATATAGTGAACTCGGTGTAGAGTTATTCCCCCTGAGGTCATCACAGAGGACAAGGGGGCGCTCTTTACGTCTGGAGGAAAAGAGATTAATCTCCAAACACGGAAGGTTTCTTCACAGTAAGAGCTGTGAGAATGTGGAATAGACTCCCTCAAGAGTTGGTTCTGGCCAGCTCAGTGGATTGCTGTAGGAAAGTCCTGGATTCTTTCTTGGATACACAGAATATAACTGGATATAACATTTATAGGTAAAGTTGATCCAGAGAATATCCGATTGCCTCTCGGGGGGATCAGGAAGGAATTTTTTCCCAGCAGGAGCAAATTGGATCATGCTTTGCTGGGTTTTTTGCCTTCCTCTGGATCAACTGTGGGTGTAGGATTATAACTATTTTTTTTTTTTTTAATGGATGGACTTTTGTCCATCTTGCAGGAAAGAAACTTGCTTAATGCATAGCCTGTTTTTTTTCTTGAATTCCACTTTAAAGTAACTAAAGGCAAAGCTTTTTTTTTTTTGTTTTGGAGAGAGTGGAGAGGGATTAGAACATCAGTAAGTTGTCTGTGTTCTCATTATGGAGATACACCCTCTCTGTGTGTGTTGTGTACTGTCATCATTAAAAGTGAAAGAAAAAGAAAATCCCAAATAAGGGATGAATACTAGTTCTGGTGACCTGGGGGTCCCCAAGGAATTCCCTTAATTTGCAGGGATTTCCTCTCACTTTCTATTTGGCTATGGGACAGGAAGTGAAAGGAAATCTGCAACATGGGATACAGATGGTGAAACAAAATCTGCTCTATCCAAAATGAAAAATCTAAAATCTGACAGGGGGTTATAACCCTCCCATGCTCTATCCAAAATTAAAAATATAAAATATTACATGTGTGTTTGTGAATATGTTTGCATTAGGCCAGCTAGAATGTGAAAAACTGACATATATCTGTGACCAAACTTTTTTTTTTTTTTATTGTTTTTTTCCTTTTCTTTTTTTTTTTTCTTTTTTTTTTTTTTTTTTAATCTTACAGGTCTGGAGTAAAACATTGTATGCAAACGCTCAAGTCTTACATGGGTGCTGGAACAACTGACGAGCGGCACCAAGTCTGTCTGCAAGATCAAAACAACAGAACACACAAAAAAAAGTGCATCGGTCACTTTAATATTCTTAGTGTTTTTGTAAAAGCTGCTTTTCTGTAAGCCGCCACCTTTTCTGTTTTCCATGTGTCACGCATTCGCTGTTCCCAAGCACAGAGACCGCCCTCTTCTCCGCCTACATCATCGCTGGCGTCTCTGTGCTTTTTATTATTATGATCACAGTGTCATTTTTCCACCACTCATTGAAATATTTTGCTTTCATCCTTTTTTTTTTTTTTTTTCTTTTTTCTTTTTTCCCCTCCTCATTCAGGTTTTCCAAATTTCATAAACGCAGTTTTAAAATTGTGTCTTCCAAAGCTCACTGTCTGGCATTAGAGAATTGTCGGAAATTCTGTTCTTGTCGAAGCTGTGATGGCGCTCACTTTGTCACAAGAAAACTACGAAACGAATGCAACTTTTTTTTTTTTTTTGTTTTTTTTGCTTTGTTTTATTTTTGCAATGAAATTCGAGGCTGCTATACTAGTTTTTTTTTCTTGTGGGAAAAACTAGAAGTATTCTAGATGTTATGTAATAACCGCCACTTTTCTGTAAAAGCACAAAATACAGACGTGTCTCGTGTTTTGTTTTTTTTTTTTTTTTTGTGTTGGAGGGCATCAAACATCCCCGCCATTGGCCTTGCCCCCTCATCTAAACAGTTTATAAAAGCGGCACAAGACCACTATACCAATGTACTATCACAAATACACCACAATTGTACCCGTATTCCGGCGCCTGGGACTCGCACGCAGTCCAGTCTGTTACTCTAGTTGATGAGATGTTGTATTTGTGAGACAGTGTTATGGATAGAAAGGCTTGAGTGTTACTGTAGATAGCTCAGTCCTAGTTTGCATGTTCGTATAGGAATGAACAATTACTCCACGATGTACAGTAGTTTGGGGCCTGCCATGGCAAAGCAGTGAGCCACATTAACCCTCCTATTAGGAAAGTTCGACTCCCACCTTTCACAGCCGCCTGTCCAGTTCAACGACTATCTGCTCGACGCAAAGATGTATGAAGCCTCTGCAGCAGATATGCAATATACAAGCCTTAGTCCGGGCGCAAGCAACTGGCATCTCTCTCGTGGCTGAGGAACTGCAACCTCCGACTTCTCCAAAGCGGACATTGTAGTTCCCCCGTTGCCAAGGAGAGACCAACTTGCCCGTGCCTGTAGCTGTAAATGTTTTTAGTTACCGTAACTGGAGACCATCATATAGGTATTAAGTGGTGTTTTAATGTACATTTTGGCAGCCATCCCCTCCCCCATCCCTTCCATTCATGATTACACGATTACCTCAGCTTAGCACTGGAATTTCCGATAAGCCTGGCTTTCTAGAACACTAAACCTCAGAATACACTACAGACTAGCCCCTTTTTAATTTTTTTGGAAGCTGCCATTTTATTGGTGATTTTCAGTATTGGTCATTCGTTTCACAATTCTGTTTTGAAATTTGGGATGGACCATGGGCAGGCTGTGGCTTGCTAAAAAGATACTCACCTTTCCTAATCAGGGCAAAGTAACATTGTTTGCATATAGCCCATCAGCCCAGGCATGCATAGCAACCCGCTGCTTCCCAATGCAGAATCCTATATGGTCTAAGGTCCAGTGTTGGAGTCTACACTGGGGCGGTTATCCTATGAGTCCCTCCATGTGACAATGTTGGGGCCTGGTGAGTTGCAGCTCAGATCCGAGCACTGTCATGGCACTGACATTGAGAAGGTCACTAGCTCCCTCATACCTGGAAGCCCCTCTCTATCAACAAGGGCTCTAGTATGGGGAGGTGGCATGGCTCATTAACTGTCTGGTGAAGTGGGCTATCGGTTTGCCCTGAATAAGCAAAGTGACATAACCATCCATGAATTTGCACGAGTTCTCATATTCTGACAGGTCCTGTTCCTTTTTACTTCCAGAGAGACCAGGGGGCTTAGAACCCAGAGGTACAATTATGGACTTGCAGCTTGGAAGTCAATGTCATAGCATGCCTTTCCCGTCCTGCAGTGCCACCATCTCCATTACAGCTTGGGAGTCAATGACTTGGCATGCCTTTCCCGTCCTGCAGTGCCACCATCTCTATTGCAGCATGGGAGTCAATGACTTGGCATGCCTTTCCCGTCCTGCAGGGCCACCATCTCTATTGCAGCATGGGAGTCAATGACTTGGCATGCCTTTCCCGTCCTGCAGGGCCACC